CGCTTCTTGTGACAGCTACAACTTGATCCCAAGGGTAAGGTAACTGGACGCAGGACCCCTGCTAAGAGTCCAGCCGGCTTCTATTTCTCAAGTCACCTACACACCATTAGCCATTGTTGGCCACGATGAACACCCACAAGGTTCCCAAGCTTTTTCATTTTGGAAAAAATCTTGTGCTCCCCAGATCCTAAGCGGATGTCCCAGGCTACGGGAGCAATGCACAAGCTCTCTAGTTCCCCAAGGGGAAGGTGCCAACCTTCCTGGGGGTGGCACATCCAGTTCCCCAAGGTAAAGGTGCCGACCTTCTTGGGGGTGGCACATCCCACCCTATGCTGCTTCCTCTGGCCTCAGTGGGGGGATAAAAAGGGACCCACTGGCAGGCAACTCTGCAGGGGTGGAGGGTGGGGGGCTGGCTCTGTCACACACACAGGTTCAGGCCCCAGCCAGACCCAACCCACCAGCTGCCACTCCCCGTGAGACCCCGCAGAGCGTGGCAGCCTGTGCTCTTTCTTTCTGCCATTGCTCTGGCAGAGATAAAATGGAAAATGGAACCCAGAGAAACAGAAACAAGGCAGTTAGCTTCTCAACTGGGAAAGAATGATGTTTTCTCTATAACATCGGATTTGATAGAAATAAAATCTGTTAAAATGTTTCTATAAAATATAAAAGAATTATGTTTTTTCTGGTATTCTGTAAGGGAAAGAATTATGTTTCTTCTATAAAATCAGTGTCTTTCGAAAACACTCATGTCCCAGCACAGTAAAGATGTATTGCTGCTAACTGCCTGTCACCCACTGGTGGCGGAAGATGTGGTGGCCACCAGGTGATCTCACCCAGGACACCCCACAGTGAGTCATGTGGTGTATCAGTCTCTCACCCACCAACATCTGCAGAGAGGAAGCCATGGAGAGGTCCCCATATATATGGTTTTGGAGAAACAGTTCAAAGGGCTCTGCCGAGAAACTGGAACATCCACGCAGTGGTAGGGCACTCAGGGGTACCTGTACCACCCACAGAAGCAAAGGGAGAGCTTCAGCTCGGAGGCCCCCACACACCAACTCAGAGCTCACAGTTAACCCTGGGAGTCACAGCTGTCACAGGCCATGAACAAGAGTCACGTGTTTTACTATCAAAGCAAACCCTTTCTAAATAATATGTCAAATATTAATATTAACCAAAGTATCGACACTTACATGAGATTCCCTGCCTCTTAACGTTCAAGTGTGACCATGTGTGAGATGCCTTCAAAGTCCAGCGACATGCAGTCACTTGTTTTCAGTTTTTAATAACTAATCTGGCTCATTATAAAGTAATTAACAACAAATAACTAATTTGGCTTATTATATACACAATCATTATAGAAAATTTGGAAAATACAGAGAAAGTTTTAAAAGATTATTAAAATCACCCTTAAGTACTCCATCAGAAATACATCCTATATATACCAGATTTCCTTCCTTCCAGTCTTGTTTCCTTTTTTTTTTTTTTTTTTTTTTTCCTTTTTGCAACAAGGTCTCACTCTCTGTTGCCCAGGCTGGAGTGCAGTGGCGCAATCACAGCTCACTACAGCCTCAACTTCCCAGGCTCAGGCAATCCTCCTGCCTCAGCCTCCTGAGTAGCTGGGACTACAGGTATGTGCCACCATGCCTGGCTAATTTTTGTATCTTTTGTAAAGAATACAAAAGTCTGCCAGGTTGCCCAGGCTGGTCTTGAACTCCTGGGCTCGAGCAATCCACCTGCCTCGGCCTCCCAAAGCATTGAGATTATAGGCGTGAGCCACTGCACCTGGCCCAGTCTTCTTTCCACGGAGATAGGTGTGTGGTAAACATGTGTTGGTGTGTTTGTTTTATGGTTTAACTTTTTGTCATTTTGCTGAGACCCAAATTTCAATCCCGCTCCTGGGAGGTTCAATTAAATGTGAAAGCCCTGGTCGGAGAAAGCCAAGCTCAGCCGCCCAGAGTCTGCACATCAGCCAAGCCCTGCTTCCTCCTGGTGTCGTGCACAGTGACGCTGATGAAGTCACACATGACTGGGTTTTATAGTGGGAATCACACGCTACCACGGTGTTTGGGTATCGATGAAGGCCTCAGAGCACATCCTTCACAAATGCCAAGGGCTGACTGTCGTTGAGGCGAGTGTTTTTTCTCCTTGGGTCTTGGTGCTATTCTTTCCAGTTATATCACAGTAACAGAGAAGCACATAAATCTTCTGCGCTATTCGTCATAAAGAGCAAGTGTCAAGGCACAGAACTGTGTAAACACAGCTGCTACGCAGTAAAACTATTTAGATAACTAGCGTATTTATTTTGCTCTTTCATATCCCATACTATAATAGTACCTAGGACACAGTAAATGTTGAATGAAAGATGAATATTATTAACTGGGACATTGAAACAATTTCTGCAGACCCAAAAGAAAGTGCCACCAATATAATGGAAAGCTATAAAATTATACTATGTGAAACTGATATAGAGAGAAAAAAATTAAATCTCTGAAGAACAACTTTATAGTTCTAGGGGCCTGTATGCCAGGCAGCCTAGCTCAGCAGCGACACCCTGTGGTAAGAGATCTTTGATTCCTGGCAACAGAGTATCTTGCAGGGCACAGGAAGAAGAAAGCCGGCCCAAGCATCCAATCCCTAAGGCAGGTGATGAGCCGAATGGACAGGCAGGATTTAGCAGATGACTGGGTGCCAAGATCCTCTCCATGGAACTTAATTCCATGGGGATGACTGAGATCTGTTAAGTAGGGATGCTGGAAAGAAAACCAAATATAAAGTACAAACCCAATTCCATTCCCAGTCTCTGTGGTCCAGATCTATAAATACTGACCCATAGCACAGTGACTAGGTACAGGAGGAATTCAGCTGCCTCCGGAAAGGCCATCTCAGGCAGTGCATATCCACCTTCAAATTCATTTGCACCATCATCCTTTAGAGAACTTATATTCCAAGAAGACATCATATAAAACTTTGAATTCTGCCATTTCCTTCTCCAGCAGATTCAAGGACACCTAAGCAGAGTTAATAAACATTAAGAGGCTGGGCATGCCACGACTGTCATCCCAACACTTTGGAAAGCCAAGGCAGGCAGATTGCTTGAACTCAGGAGTTCAAGACCAGCCTGGCCAACATGGCAAAACCCTGTCTCCACAAAAAATATTAAAAATTAGCCAGGCATGGTGATGCACACTTGTAGTCCCAGCTACTCGGGGGGGCTGAGGTGGGAGGATCGCTTGAGCTTGGGAGGTTGAGGCTGCAGTGAGCCGTGATCGCACCACTACACTCCAGCCTGGGCAACGGAGCAAGACCCTGCCTCAAAAACTAAAAATAAACATTAAGAAATGAGGATATGTACAGCATACACATACTCATTCCATTCCTTGGGCTGCCAAAGTAAAGCAGAATTCAGTCAGAAATAAGTAGCTGAGAGGAAAGTAGTCCACAGTACAGATATTCAAGAAAATCAACAAGGCCAAGTGGAGGGCCCACAACAGGAAGTGAGTATTTTCTGAAAATAATTATTTTCCAAAGTTATTATGTAATAAGGGGCTTGGTAGGGAGTGTCCATGTATGTGTATACAGAGCAAATATTTGCTTTAATCATGTTCAAGCATTTCATTCCCAAAGTTTGTGAAGCGGGAAAAGAATACTCCCTTAATTGATCAATGAACAGGTGAAAATGTATCACCTCCCACTGCCCCAGGCTGTTTAAAAAACTGGAAGGACAAAAGCGTGAAGCGTCTGTTGTGTGCTTGAATATAAGCAGACACATGATACAAAGCCCCGACTTGGGTATTTCAGGTTATACTCATCCTAAATACACCAGAAATGCCAAGAGTTCCAAACTTCCACTCACAGGAGAATAACGGGGGCGGGGCCGCTCTTCCTATCCACTGCTCTGTCCGAGAGTCCGGAGGTCAAGTTCGAAGACCAGCATGATCTGAACTCTGAGAAAGGGCAGGGAGCTGTGCCAAGGGCAAGGCCAAGCCACCTCACTCCCTGACTTCCCCAGCTGGGAGCCTCAGAGCAGGCACTCGCTAAGGTAGCCAGCCCCAGCCCTCCATTCCCAGGAAAAGACTGACAGCAAAGGTCTAGGGAAGTGGCAGTGCTGTCAGATTTTCTATCCGTCTTCTCCAAGTGAGCCCATCACACCCAGATAGTTCACAGCTCTGCTCTCCTCCAAAAACTAAGGGACACAGTGTAACACAAAAGAAAGTGTCTCCCTTTTAAAAAATGTTGGGATGAGAGGTATAATTTGTTCGTTTCAAGAGAAAGTAGGTAAGTTTAGTGTTTAAAGTCACCTAGACTATTGGATGTTTGCAGAAACTACATGGTTATGTCACTAAACTCACAAATTTGTCTGTTCAGAGAAGACAACAGAAATAGACAAAATAATTTGTCACAATGACTATGAAACTGACAGCATGGCCGAGCAGGGGGATTAGTAAGAACACACACCTGGAGAATCTGGCAACCGGCCCAAAACCAGGTATCAATCACAGGCAGCAAGTGCAGGCACTGGCCACGAGAACTGCCGAACGCATTCCCAGTTCCATGGGCATTTTCCTGTTAGACACGACTCACAGACGTGAAACCCAGAGCGCTGTTGCCACAAGATGGCAGACATTAGCATAAATGTGATTGTTCCAAAGATTTGCTGAAAGCAGCCCAAATCAAAACAAATGCTTTCAATCCCAAATGAATAAAATTACAGTTTCTGAATATACTCTTGACACAGGGACCCTCTTCCCCACAACGCGGATAGGGCCACACCTACAGACTTAACACCTTTCTAAACTCTACCAGTCACCCCTCCCTTATACATAACCCTCCCCCTACAAAATGAATATTTGCACATCTTGAAGATGATTTCCAAACCCGAAGTCAAAACAGAAATGAAAAATCAAAACCAACCAAAATAAAACAATTAAGGCAACGGGTCGCCACTGTGAAGAGGGCCACGTCGTGGCGCGCTCTGCCCGGCTGAGCCCACAACTCACCTCCGCAGCCAAGAGCAAGTAAAGAGGAGTTAAGGCAGGAACTTGTTTCATGTCACAGCTGAGGCCAAGGGTTGTCAGAATCTCTCTAAGGACTTCATATCTTCTAAAATTGCTTGACTTAAGCAAGTTAAAATCTTCTGGAGTTTGCACTATGTCGGAGCTCGGAGGTAGTTCCAAGTGCACCTGAAGGGAAAACACAGCACTATATAAACTGGGGGCAATAAGAAAAACAGTTTCTTCTTTCTTTTTCTTTCCTTTTTTTTTTAATTTAGAGACAGGATCTCACTGTGTTGCCCAGGCTGGTCTTGAACTCCTGGGCTCAAGCGATCCTCCCGCCTCAGCCTCCCAAAGTGCTGGGATTACAGGTATAAGCCACCGCACCCGGCCAAAAAATGTCTTTACCAGTTTTCTTCTCCAAGTGAGCACATCATACCCGGATAGCTCATAGCTTTGCTCTCCTCTGAAAATTAAGGGACACAGTATAACCCAATAGAGAAAACTTGAACCCGAATTTTTCTAATTATCAATAGCATATAAACTCTGAAGCTGAATATCTGGAAAGTCATGGCCAACAAGAAAATGATTCCAAAGAGCCTGTTCAAATCCTGGTTGTCAGGCAGAGAGGCCATGGTGGAAATGACCCTGTACAGTCATCATCTCTCTCCATGTTCCACACTCATCAGTCATATGACCTTCTGCAAGTTACTTAACTCGGTTATAGGAACAAAATAGTTAGGGCCGGGCGCAGTGGCTCATGCCTGTAATCCCAGCACTTTGGGAGGCCAAGGCAGGCGGATCACCTGAGGTCGGGAGTTCAAGACCAGCCTGACCAACATGGAGAAACTCTGTCTCTACTAAAAATACAAAAGTAGCCAGGCGTAGTTGCATGTGCCTGTAATCCCAGCTACTCGGGAGGCTGAGGCAGAAGAATTGCTTGAACCCAGGAGGCGGAAGTTGCGGTGAGCTGAGATCGTGCCATTGCACTCCAAACTGGGGAACAAGAGCAAAAACTCCATTTCAAAAAAAAAAAAAAAAAAAAAAACCTAGAAAGACAGCTGTGCTGAAAACCTAATTGCTAGTGAGCTCAGGGAGGCAAATGGCTCATGCTGGAAACTTCCATTTGGCCTACTAGCCATAAATGGAAAACAATACCTGGGAAGAGAGCAGCCTTATTCATCATTTTAAGAGAGTTTGCAGAAGGCTGGGCATAGTGGCTCACACCTGTAATCCCAACACTTTGGGAGGCCGAGATGGTAGGATTGCTTGAGCCTAGGAGTTTCAGACCAGCCTGGGCAACACAGTGAGACCCTGTCTCTACAAAAAATACAAAAATTAGCCAGGTGTGGGTGGTGCACCTGTAGTCCCAACTACTTGGGAGGCTGAGCTGGGAGGATCCCTTGAACTCAGGAGGTTGAGGCTGCAGTGAGCCATGATTGTGCCACTGCACTCCAGCCTGGGCAACAGAGTGTGACCATTTAAAAAAAAAAAGAGAGAGAGTTTGCAGGAGTTCAAAACATCAGGTCCTTGAATAATGTTGTTTCACTCAAAGTCATTTTGTTATGATGTTGATGAGGGGAAAAAGAAATCACTTCCCAGCCGGGGCCACTCTCTGTGGGTCTGCAAACTCTCCCCATGTCTGCCCGGGTTTTCTCCAGATTCTCCATTTTCCCCCACATCCCCAAGCTGTGCACATTAGGTGAACTGATGCGTCTACATGGTCTGGTCTGAGCAAGTGTGAGTGCAGGTGTGAGTGTGGCCTGCGATGGGTGGGCATCCCGGCCAGGGCTGGCTCCCCAACCAGTGCCCTGAGCTTCCAGGCTGAGCTCCAGCCACGTGGCCACCCACCATGCTGAACTGAAATAATTAGGTAAATAATTATCTTATGTTTTTATTAATCTTTCTTAAATGTACATATAACTCATATTTATTTCAGTGTTTCAGTGTTTTGTCCTTTATTTAGAAGTCTGGTGATGTCTCTGTGACCAGAAATACGCCACGGGAACTGACTTCTTGTTTCTATCAATTAGCCTATGGTAACATTGGTTTCACTGTATGTCATTTCACTTAAGTGTGCAGTTTCCAAGAACCTATCAACAGCGTTAAGTGAGGACTTACTGAGGGAGGAGTAGGATTTCTTGGACACCAGAAAGGCCTTTCCTCCCACCCTCCTTCCCGTGATTGAATTTTAAGATTTGGAACTTCACCTAGTTACTTCAGGCTTTGTTGTCTAGTTAAAAATTAAAATATCTCCACCTATCAACAGCCTCTGTCTTGGGATGAAGGAACTTCCTGGAACCTCTAGCTCCCCTGAGATCAGATTTTCAATGAGCATTGGAGCCTGGAGGTTGCCAGAACACTGAGTACCCAGAAAAGCAAACTGAGCTCGTCTGCCTTATTTTGTTTCAGCTTTGCCTACTGTATACAAAGCTTCTAGCCTGATACTATAGAAGTATTATGAAAATAAAAAGCATAGTGCCAGCTTTTAGGCGACTTAAAATCTCTCAGTTCCCACCCACACCTTAACCAAGCCAAATACACTAAACCAAATGTTAAAAGTTGAGGCCTGACTGAGTGCAGTGGCTCACCCCTATAATCCCAGCACTTTGGCAGGCCGAGGTGGGAGGATCACTTGAGGCCAGGAGTTTGAGACCAGCCAGCCAACATGGCGAAACTCCATTGCCACTAAAAAGACAAAAATCAGCTAGGCGTGGTGTCGCATGCCTGTAATCCCAGTTACTTGAGAGGCTGAGGCACAAGAATCACTTGAACCTGGGAGGTGGAGGTTACAGTGAGCTGAGATCGTGCCAGTGTACTCCAGCCTGGGTGACAGAGTGAGCCTCTGGCTCAAAAAATAAAGGTTGAGGCCAATCAGAAAAGGTCTGCAGGACACCGTCCAACATGGTCCCCAAACCACAGCTGGTTGGCTGCAGGCTGGCTGCTTCCTCTAAGACCGAGGACGCCGATCGGGTGCAACAGGTCAGGTGGGCCTGTTTCTAGATAGCCCGGGAGAGGGGAAGAGGCAGAAAAGCAAAACCCTCTAAAGAATCCGTATCCTCACCTGAGGTCAGGATTTCGAAACCAGCCTGACCAACATGGTGAAACCGTCTCTACTAAAAATACAAAAAAAAAAATTAGACAGGCCTGGTGGTGCATGCTTGTAATCCCAGCTACTTGGGAGGCTGAGGCAAGAGAATCATTTGAACCCAGGAGGCAGAGGCTGCAGTGAGCCGAGATGTGCCACTGCACTCCAGCCTGGGCAATAAGAATGAAACTCCGTCTCAAAAAAAATAAAAATAAAAAATCCGTATCCTATTCAGTACGCTTCTACCTTAAATGTGCACCTTTCCCCTCTGGTGGACAAAGTTACGCCAATGTAGACAAACAGCACAGTGGCAGGACCCGTTTAATTCACTTGAGCACACGGCTATTCCGGAGATTAACCCTTACAGGTGGCAGAAATGAAGTAAGTCAAGTTCTGTTCCCACCAGAGCCGAAGGGATGAGAGAGGCGCTCGACTGAATGCATGTGGACTCGCTGGTCAGGGCAAATACACAGAGTAGCCAAGACGCACACGCAGTGAATTACATGAACTCATTTTCACATGAGAACAATGCCAGGACGGAAAACAGGATGGCGCTACAAGCGGGCAGAGTTCCCAGAGACAAGGAGGAAGACGGCTGCTGAAATCCCGAGAACTGCTTGGTTTCACTGTCTTATGGTTTCAAGATGTAGGTGCTTCTACAATGGAAACCAGAAAAGAGGCCACCTCTGGTTCTACGCTCCCAATGAGCAGGGAGAAATGGCACGCCAGAGTGTGTGGGTGGCAGATTTGTACTCCTTGTCCACAGAGGTACTGGACTAGAGTCTCATCCTCTGGGTGTAATCCTGTTACCATAATGACAGGTCTATTTCTGTAACTTGGCCTTCCTGTAAAAATAAGACTTTTTAGTTGGAACGAAAACCAGAACTTAAAAAATGTCTCCAGCCACAAATGCGGGGAGAGGGTGATACTGGCATCTAGTGGGGAAAGACCAGGGATGCTTCTCCGCAGCCGAAAATGCACAAGACTGTTTCTCATCACGAAGAATTCTCTGACCCAAAATGTCAATAGTGTCATGGTTGAGAAACTCTGCCATCAAAGGCCACCCACTGCTGCCATGTGCTAAGCTAAACAAGAAAACAAAATCTTTTAAAATCCATTTTAGAGGTTTTCTGTGGACAACTTTATGGCAAACTCCTGGTCTATTTGACAGTCAAATGTCAGCATTAATCCACAGCCTCAAGTTTTCCCTGCAAACTTGATCAGTACAGCGAAAATACAAACATTTCCTCTCTTTCTTTATTATGATGAATGGCAAAGGCATCAAATCTGCAGCTTCCTTGGCTGGGACACCAGTGCCTAGGGTGCAGCTGTGTTCTGCCCTTGAAATACTTTACCTCCTCTTATTGGGTTACATCATTACTAGATTTATTACAAAGGTGAAGACTATGAAATTGAACAGGGAAAGAGGAAACTAACCAGCCTGTGATAATATTTATTTTTTGATCTCAGTAAGGTATCACAGAGACACAGGCCTGTGGAGAAAACTGTGACCCTGTCACACAGAAGACTGGAAGTCATTTAAAATCAAAAATGACATTCTAATCCTCTGAATCTGATTTGTGAAGCTGCATCATATTGCCTTTTTTTCCTAGGGTAATACACTGCAGTATCAAATTTTATGATAGTAATGGGGTCAATTTAAATGGTGCAGCAAGCAGATTTGCTATGTAACTCAGAGAAATGAATCACAACAGTGCCAAATCAATTTTCTAGTACAAGTCTGTGCTCAGGGGTGGTAAAATTCACTCTTCAAAACTGAAATATGGCTCTAGGAAGTTGGGTTTTTAAGTGGATTTTCTGAGAATATGCGTTACTATAGTTACCATATTTGCAGAGAAAAAGATAAGAGGAACATTTATTACGCCTCCAAATGCTAATTCATGTGGTCTGCAGCACTGCAGGAAACCTGCTTGGGTTGTATGCGTTCATCTGTCCTAATGTCCGAATTCCTTAATTTTAAGCATCTCTGCTTAAAATGTAGGTGTAGTAAAGAAACAAATATATACTCCCTGGAAAAAATGTTTGGCCAGAAAATTCAAGAGACTTAGCTTCCAGGAGAACTGGAAAAAGACAGGGCATTACAAAAAGAAAACAAAACAAAAAAGAAACAATTCTCTAACTCAGTAAAAAGATCCCTACAATAAAACAAAATCGATGACACTTATCTTGGGAACTCTCCTGAACAAAATATCTACATCTGCTTAATTTCTCCTTAGAGCATTAAATCCTTAAGGACAAGTGAACGTTCGTCTAACTCTAATGAAAACCTTTTCCCCTAAGGATTAAAAGATTTGGAGTCAATGATAAGGAATTCTGAAATAGTCCATCTGCCACCGTTTGCTTAAACAAACAAAAAGCTAAAAGGAAAAAGAAGATGGAATAAGAGGAAAAAAAAAAGAGCCAAAGGATCTCCTAAGCAAGAAAAAGAAATTAGCATTTTCCTTTCATCCTCTTTCCATTTTTCCCCTAGCTATGTATTAGTATGCCACAAATCTAAGTAGCTTCAATATTCTCTTATTTCAAGTTTTTCTTCAGCACTTGGAAGAGTGACAAAACATAAGGAAGGAATTGGGAATCTGAAGATGTTTTTTAACACAAACTACCTTGGCAATCAACTACAGTATTTCATTGCAGTGGTCACTGACGTCTAGAATCACTACCCTGATGGTTTCAACTTCCTACATTAAATAAAGGATCAATTATATTAACCAAGGAGTGCTCTAGGGCAAGAAAGCAGACCGATGTAGTTGAGAAAGATCATTACTAGTAAAGAACAAAACAAGAATTTTCTGACTAAGCCTCAGTTAACCAGCAAGCTCATTTAACAAGTCTTTTGGTTCATCAGGGTATTCAAGAAAGCCCTAAACTAAACTAAACTTTCCGCTTACTATCAGCAAAAGCTCCCAGTCAACAGTCAAAAACAGCGCACAGCACACGAGCCCCTGAAACTTTTAAGCGTGTAGCTTTAAAAGACATATTCCCTCTCAAAGATACCCACAGATACCCAAAGATCGCCAAATCCATGCTGCCCTGAGTACCTGGCAAAGAACAGCTTCTCCCCCGTGAGTTCCAAAAGGCACATGCACAATCATCCTGTCCTTGTCATCATTCTCCAGGTGGCCCTGGAGCCCACCAGGGCTGAGCCGGACGGGGCCTTCCTGGTACCTGCAGCCACTGCTCAAGACGCTGAGCTTCACCTCGCTCTGGTCAGCCTTGGAGAAAACCAGGTTCTGGACTGTCTTCCACAGTGCACCCTTGCTTGTCACCTGAAAGCCACCAAAGGTGAAGGACGAAGACAGGCCCAACACCTTCCCTCCCTGAGAAAGATAGGCCATGAACTTCTGGTACAGGTCTTCGGGAATGGACTCCCTGGTAGCAATGACCAACAGCAGACAGTTGTCCGTCCACGGGTCTCTGAGAGCACTGTCCTCCAGCAAGTGGTAGAGAACGTAACTGTCAATGTCCACACAGTCAGCCAGCACGGACCGGACCTCGTGGAACCGGCCGAGGGCTTCCTGGGAGTCGGAGCCCACATAGAGGAGGATGTTAGGCGCCTTTCCTGTGAGGTTGACTCTTCTCCCTTCTCTTTCAGGGGAGGTCTCATCAGCAACACTCTCCAAACTGCTGCTATAATCGTAGGGAAGGTCTGGAATGTTCTCGGCAGATGCAAACTTGACTGACTCAATGGTGCTGTTCTCAAGTTCCAGACACTCGTGGCAACTAGACAGATGGAGGTGATAATGCTCAATGGGGCCCCCTCCCCTGTCACTGTCCCCAGCAGGCTCACTCCCAGAGGCACTGCCTCTCCTTTGTTTGGGTTCTTCACCAAGAGCCTTTGGGTCATCTCTGCCAACGTGCTCCATACCGTCCTGCTCAGGCTTAATCTCAAGAGAAGGTTCGGGCTTCGGCTCTAGGATCTGGGCTTGCTTGTTTGAGGCTTGATCCTTAACTTCCTTCAGAGTGGAGTCCTGCAAGCGCACCGCTAAGGCATGAACAGGAGAGAGGGAGAGAATTAATCAACACTTCTTGTATGACACGTAGCTCATCTCAAGAATCTCATCACCCTCTCTGCATTCTGGGACTTACATTCCAGGACAGTCACTGGCACGGCTCCCACCTGCATCCCCCCTCAACCCAGGGGCATCCTTTGGAAACACTAACTGTTCCTACCTAAAGACCCCAAGTGAAATCAGCAGTTTGCCCAACATCTTTTACACCTATCGGAGAACCTAAGACCCTCTTACAGAATGGTGAGGAAAGTGAGATTCAGAGAGGTACTTTTGCCTCCTTACTTACAGATTCTATTTCTTGGGTGTTATTCTCCTTTACAATAACGAAACTGAGCAATAAAAAAGGACACATATCTAGAGTCTACCCCAGCACGCCCCAGTGAAATGTCACTCTCAGGACATGCCATAGGATCAACGGGAGAAGATTCTTCCCAGGATCTTGTCTCAGGACTAGAACATAAGTTGACAATCACTAATTCAAAAACATTTATCAAGCACTTGCTACGTGTCAGACATGGTATTGGAGACATGTACGAGGTGATTCTGGATATTAAGGGATTTACATGAACTTCCAGACCTGATAAAGGACATTTATTTGCCCATGAGATGAAAGAAGACATTCATAGACATAAAAAGCCTGCTTTTAAGTCTAATTAAGGAAGAACAGTTTGTGTGTTTCCTGAAAAACGATTTGTCCCAAAAAATTGTGATACATATATTTTAAGTAAAAAGCTGTTTGATTTAGAACTTCATAGTAACACTAGCTATGCTTCCCACTCAATCAGAACTATAGTCTAGACACTAGTTATACTGTATTAAACTATGTGGAATAAATGTTATATGGGTTCTGAATTTGAATGCCACCTCATGAGCAACGCAGTCATGAAACATTCTTGTTTAAGAAATTTAATAAGCACTGAAAATGTACCCTGCAGCCCCCCAAAAAACTCTTGACGTGTGTATGAATTGTATATTATTATAGTAAAATCAAACCTGTTGACTGAATTAAACTGAAACTAAGCATAGCCCTTACGTCATACCAGTAGGAGTGCTCAACAGTCCTTAAGCTAATAACCTATAGTGTCCCACTATGATAAAAGCAGGGCCTCACTTTGTCACCCACATGGGAATGCAGGGGCATGATCATGGCTCACTGTAGCCTCAACCTCCCAGCTCAAGTGATCCTCCCATCTCAGCCTCCCAAGAACCCGGGACCACAGGCATGCACCACCACACCCAGCTAATTTTTTTTGTTTGTTTGTTTGGAGATGGGTGTCTATGTTGCCCAGGCTGGTCTCGAGCTCCTGGGCTCCAAGCGATCCTCCTGCCTCGGCCTTCCAAAGTGCTGGGATTACAGGCATGAGCCACTATGCCTGGCCAATAAAAACATTTTCTAAAGTTACTTACACATAATCTTTTGGGGTACCAGTCCATTATCCATGTGGAGTCTATCTTCCATGAACGCCACCCCCAGCTTGCTGAAGTTGTCCACACTTGCTTCAGCAATTAGCCGATAAGGATCCCCAGGTCTGCAAGCTAATGGCAAACAACAGTCTGACCACTTGACAACCTGAGAAAAAGCAGGAGAGGGAGGAGGTGGGAAAAGACAGGTTGAGATTTTTCTTCTCTAAAATAACCAGATACTTTATTTTTCCGTTGAGGCTCCTACCACTAAATTACAGTCATTGATAACAAATTACTGGATACTACATTTTATTAATATCAGAGTTGTTTTGAATCAAACATTGTCATCTCTACCTGACAACAGTGCTTATAAAACACTAAATATAACTCTCTCATTTAAAAGTAACTGAAGTCTCCATCTTTTTAGGGAACTAAAAGATAAAGGGACATTCCCCAGACACCAGAAAAGTATCATGCTGCCCTTTAAAAACAGAGAAGAGGACAGAACAAGTCCACCATACCCAACTACTTTCAATGTAACCTGTGGACCCGCTTTTCTCAAAGTGTGGTCCGAGACCAAGTGCAACCGACCTCCCAGGGAGCACATCAGACCTTCAGAGTCCCAAGCACAACTGCCTCCCTGTCTGGTGCACTGGACTTTCTGGAGTTGAACTCCAGATATCAGAATGTTACAACGTGCTTCCCCTGTGGTTCCTGCACTCGAACTGTGAGAACAATCCGAAAAGACTTTCCAGACAGTTCCTCCCTGTAAGGAGGTTCCGGTTCCCACCACAAGGGGGACAGGGAGAAAGAGAGCAGGCAAAACACCCGGCTTAGGCTTCCAGTTCTTACTACAGAAGCCTGTGATACCGGGGCCTCGAACACCCGTACTCTCGCTGAGGGTTCCCACGGAGAAGACAGCCTATGAGGTGAAGAGCCCGGCGCTGCAGTCAGGGGTCTGAGGCCGAGTCAAAGACAACTCATCATCGCTGTCTGTCCTCGGGCAAGCTTCTGACCCTCGTAGCGTCCTAATTTGTAAAACAAGAATACCCTACTAAAAATACAAAAATCAGCCAGCCGTGGTGTCACATGCCTGTAGTCCCAGCTACTCGGGGGGCTGAGGTAGGAGAATCGCTTGAACCCAGGAGGCAGAGGTTGCAGTGAGCCGAGATCGCGCCACTGCACTCCAGCATGGGTGACAGAGAGACTCCGTCTCAAAAACTAAATAAATAAATAAATATAATTTAAAGGCTGGTAGCATTCATGAGATCAAAGAGTATATGTAATGCCCCCAGTAGAAAGCTTAGATGAACCGGAATAAAGTACTCAATTACCGACAGCTGCTTTTATTAGCGGTCACAAATGTGGCTTTAAAAGCAGCAGTGAGCAGCACAGTCTTTTTCTAAGATGCCATGAATGATTCCTCTACTTCCTAAAGATGCCTTCTCAGGGACACATTGCCCCGAATTTCATAATTAGAGATAAATAATTTTTTATTCCATTTTTATTTCTTTGTATTTTTTTTTTTTTAGATGAGTACTCGCTGTATCACCCAGGCTGGTTTTGAACTCCTAGCCTTGAGTAATTCTCTCGCCTCAGACTCCCGAGTAGCTGGGACAACAGGCTCGGGCCACCACACTTGGCTTGAATTCTATTTTATATACCGGTGGGATAGGATTTTAGAACTAACTCCTCCTAAAAACTATTTTTTAAATGCTGGATAAAATAAATGAATGAAGTATTACCTTAAAAGTCTGGAAGAACTGACTAGATAATAATGAACTTCCAGGTCAAGTGTTGGGATAAATTCTGAACCTACAGAGGAAAGGGGGACTCCCGCAAGACACACCACTTCTGCCCCTAGGGTCCTTGCTCATCCAAGCAACTTGGGTTTCAAAAGTCAACGTCCAACTGGCATAAGCGTAGACATATAGTGATATGGTTTGGCTGGGTCCCCACCCAAATCTCATCTCCAACTGTAATCCCCATGTGTCAACGGAGGGATCTGGTGGTGACAGGATCCTGGGGGCAGTTTCCCCCATGCTGTTCTCATGATAGTGAGTTCTCATGAGATCTGATACTTTTGAAGTGTTTGGACCAGGCGCGGTGGTTTACGCCTGTAATCCCAGCAGTTTGGGAGGCTGAGGTGGGTGAATCACCTGAGCTCAGGAGTTCATGACCAGCCTGGGCAACATGGTAAAACCCCGTCTCTACCAAAAATAAAACCCCCGTCTCTACCAAAAATAAAAAAAT